TGATGGGTATATTAACTATGTATAGCGTGAATGCTTTAAATCAAATAATATAAATAATCAGGTTCAATCTGTTCATCAACTTGAATTTGTATTAAATATTATTTAGAGATTTAGAGATATAAAAACCAAATACATGCATTAAACTTATTTTTAGATATACTATATCTCTAGATAATCGTACCTAAGCTAATTTGTATTCAAACTTTTTTTTTATATACGATTTGTAATTTTGGTTGATGAAAAAAATATCTGCACAATTGTATAATTTATCTGGAGTATAATATAAATATATAATCAGCATCATATTGTAGCAAATGAATTTGGGGAACAAATATCTTGCTATGATTTAATACCTATCTAATTGATAAAGAATTCGTATTTTGAACATCMCTCATTTTGTTACAGCAAAAGGAATTCTTCCGAAAATTAATAGGCTATCCTGGCGGGATTTGTAGACTAATTTCGTTCGTATAACATAAATGGATGGTTCGATGATGATGCTGTATGCCCCTAAGGCATTCATTGGATATGGCTAAATGCTCATTATATCCTATAAGCCACTCGTCAAAAACCTAAACGGTCAGATTATAAGCACATCCCGAGTGACTTTTGAAAAATATATTTTTAAATCGAACCATACCACATATTTATATAATATCTTTGTGGTTTTCAATAATCTGATAGCGAGAATACAACGAAATATACGCAATTCGTCGCAAGTGGGTCAATTGTTTTATAAAGGATGATAATAACATAATGAAGTTTATCAGGAAGATTTAAATTATGAATTTACGTTTAAATAATATGCGTAATTTTAAAACATAATGTTCTAGATTAACTCTATTATTTCTACCTTAATTGAAACCATGCTTTTTTCACAATCTCATGAAATTAAATTAAAGTCCCAAACATAGGCMATTGGATGTGGGGTGGTACGGTTGGGGTTATTTTTGTGTATTTGTTTGTAGGTTTTTAGGTGGGTAGGGTTGTAACACGTGTTTATGTATGTGTGGCAAGGATATGTTGCTAAAAACCCCGGGTGGTCACCCATCCGGTAGCTAGCGACTGCGGCCGGTACGTATGCTCAGTGCGTTTCCGCAGATTGAGCATATATATGTTACAGGCAATGTGGCCCTGCCCGCGAAATGTGGAGCACATTTTTTTTTAACCAACTAATATTATTTTTTATATCGGTAATTGGCACGTCTGAAGAAAAACTGCAACAACTGTACTGCAGAAACCAATTTACGATTTTTAAAGAAAAATGTGTACAAAATCAAAGACCTGCCGTCCAATTCAAATTCGTTGCGAGAAGCAGCACGCTCTTTTTCTAATTTAGGAGGACAAGGATATGATCGGTGTACTTGTACACAGAGTTGCAAAACAAATAAATGCAAGTGTAAAAAAGCAGATAGATTATGTAATTCCAAGTGTCATGCTTCTAAATATTTTACGAATAAATAGCTAATATTAAAATTATAGTTTAAAATAGAAATAAAATGATAATATTTGTCAATTTCTTTTGATATTCCTTACAAACATTCGTAATATTAATATGATATATGAATATAGGTAATCATAATTATTGTTTTAAAAATAATAAATAATTTATGATAAAAATAAAAAAACTATAATTATAATACAATTATAATTTATAATTTATAACAATAATGAAAAATAATATCAGTTGGTTAAAAAAAAATGTAGTCCACATTGCCCGTAACATATATATATATATATATATATAGGCCATAGATGTAAACGTTTTCAAGAATATTATGTATAACAAACTAAAATTAAGTATATTTTAGTTTTTGTTTTTACTTAAAAAGTTTGATTAACTTTTATTATAGAAATAGTAAGTATTTAAAGAGTTAAGTAAATGATTAATTTTCAGTAAAACTAAGTATTARATTTTAAATTAGTTTTTAGAACCAAATTTAATTTTATTGAGTAATGGTTTACTTTATCTACCTAGTACCTACGCATTAATATTATAGGGTTGGATAGTGATCAAAAATGTAAATAATTTGATTTTCGTGAGAAATTTCTCAATAATTACGCACTTGCTTGTATAATGTGATATCTATAATTTTATGATAAATAAGGATTATCTGATTATTGATTAGTGAAGAAATACTATGAAATATAATCTTAATATCATAAGTATTATCATTGTGTATAGAAGTTTCTTTCAGACATTTTAATTAAATAAATGAAACACCAACAGTCAACACGCATACATACAAGTTACTTATATTATATTTATGGATGATATAAGATGAATTAATACACATAAAATGTAAGTTAAATGCTGGTAATTAATTAACATCAATTTTATATAACGCGTATATATATATATATATACATTTTACACGACAGTAATTCATGATGTTATTTTGTACGCCATCTGCAACCTTTTACGTTTGGAAAATTCACTAAGTATATAGGATTGAATGCGTTGCATTAGCAACATTCTTCATAAAGCGACTTCTATTACTTATTACACGATCGATTTCAGCACCTACCTACCTATTTGTAATCTTATACATCATGACGTGTATCGGGCTTTGTTCGAAATGTTATAAAAATAATAGCTGCATCAGCAGCTCGAGAGGTACACCAGCTGTAACTTTTATGGCCTTCTGAATTCCGCTGGTTGTATTATGAATCGTGTATACTATTACTATACCTATATATATGTACTTAATAATGTTATGTGGTTCACGTTTACGTGTTTAGCAAACGTTTATCGCACAACGTTATACGCATTATTGTGGTACGGTACGTTTTATTGTTGTTAAATATTAAACCAGACTGTCACGTAATATTCATTGGGAACCCATAAAAGTCCATGTTTTAAAAAAATAACCAATAAGAAAATTTATTGTGATTATGTACAAAATTTACCGCACGGCACTGCCGTTAAATGTCAAACGCTCTATAGCAGGGTAGCGATGCTTTTTTAGGTCTAGTGCCAAACTTTTGCAATCAAGGGTTTGACAATTTTTTACGTGCCCAAAGTTTTAGCCACTAATTAGAAAATAATAAATATAGTGATATAATATAGCAACATAATCAATTTAACTTATAGGAATATAATACATATAAAATTTTTATAATTTATCTCTTTGACATTTTTAAAAGCGAAATTTAAAATTTTAAGAATAGTATAATTTTTCTCAGTTTTAATTTTTTGTGTGCCATTGAAATTTGGTAAACGTACCACTTTTGGGACGCGTGTCGTGGGTTATCTACCCTGYTCTATAGTAGACAGCAGTGGTCTTCAAACTATATGGGTTGCTACCCAATTTTGGGTCGTGTAAACTTTAAGATTGGATCTCGACGGGTCGGATTACTCCTACAATGGCATACTAAGACATTAAGCAATTTAACTTTTTTAGAAGTGTATGGTTAGAAAATTGGGTTGCGAATCAAAAAGCTTAAAGACCGCTGGTAGGTATATAGTATTTTATTGTATTTTTTTTTTTTTTTTAATTATTCCGCGGCAACTAAGGCCATTGGGTAGTACTGTAGGTTCTTATGGAACTGTAGGTTGGTTTTACACGTGGGTGAGAGTTTTGGCAGAATTTCTATTGGGGCACTCGTAGGTTTCTGCCATGCTCCGGAGTGGGGGATGGCGGCACTTGTTCTCCGGACACCCTGACTTGCCCGGAGAAAAATGCCGCCCGATGGTCGAGGATCGAACCCGGTCCAGCTGAGCTACAGCCGACGCAGTAGACCACTCGGCCACCTCGTCCACCAGTATTGTATTATATATAGTCATATAGGTATCTCTAGTCTGTGGAACTATTGTGTATTATGTACATTATTTTATAATATAAGTAGGTACTCAGGTACAGTAAAAATCACTTATTATACCCGTTAAAATAAAAAAATCGGCTAACCAAACCCATCTCAAAATTGTTATAATATTATGGGGGAATTGTTTTTTTCATACAAATGATCAACTAAAAGATTTTTAAATCAGCTACTGGATTACAAACCTGTGTATAGGACCACATAAAACTATTTAGTCTCTGTATTTCGCGTGTTAGAAGGCCGGGATGAATAAGAAACATATATGTTATCATCAAATACCTACCAATGACCAGTGGCATGCTCAGAAATTTTCAACGAGGGGATGGAGTGTTATAAGGGATATTAAATTCAAATGAATTGTGGGGGGAGGTAGTACCAAAGGCACAAATAAGTGATTTGTGATTTGGATAATGTGGAGATGGGGTAAATCCTCTAAAACCTCCCCGATGGGTATGCCACAATCCTGCACACAGCGAATTTGGGTGCTCATTAATAACTATGATTTTGCTTCTATGTACTTAGTTTCAAGACACTCGGAGACGTGAGTGCGTCGCAGATGGAACTTCGACAGTGGCGGATGCAATCGCGGCAGCAGCGGGTCGACGATAGGACGGCCACGACAGTAACAGCTACAGGTGCGTAAATCTGCGAAAACATTGGTAAATAACGTGCATAACGTGCATACAACATAAACAATTGCTGTTGAAAACAAACGAAGCAAAATACAATATATTTTGGTATGGTATTATTATTGTTTGAATTTATTAATTGATTACCCACTATACTGACAATGTGRCGAAACCACTCGATCCATATTATTATACTATAAATTGAGCACTGGGTCATTGGGTCATGATACTCATACATAGTAAGTTACGATAACACTACAGAGTGATTCGTGACGCGCAAAACACTCATTATTTATAAAAATTATTTACTTTTTACAAATTTTTTTTTTTCAAAATTTTAGATCTATGCTGTTCTTAAACTATATAAATTTTTAATATTTTTCGTCCTTATATTTATTAGGTAAACCACTATCAACTTTTGATTTTTAAATGGCAACCTATATGAACAATATCATAAATTAATAAGGATATTTTTTTAATGAATTTTCACGTTTAAATTTTCATTTTTCGTTAATCCGTTGACGAGATATAGTGTCCCAAAGTTGGATGGTTTTGGGGTGGTGTTTGTGTATAAATGTGTTATAGGTACCATGTCAGTGCCGCGGCCGCAGCAATTGGGATTTTTGTGCTATATATCGTAAAACATAATACACTTTTCAAATAAATTCAGTAAGTACGATAGTTAAGCCTAAGTTGTGCCCCAAAATAGGTAAACATATTTATACAGGACAAACACCACTCCCAAAACCGTATATATTATACGAATATAGATATATCTGCATGTGGTGAATAAGCGTAATCTAAAGAGGAAAGGACAAGAGCAGCGATTACCACCTCACATATTTAACTGAGTGGGCAATAGTGTCTTTTTACCTTATAAAGTTTTAGTTTTACCACTGACTGTCCCCCTACCCCAAGAATTTACTCCAAATTATTAAACAAATATTACAGTGGATAGCTAATTTCAAGCTATATAATTAATATACGAGTACAAGATGTACGTCTCACTCTTCTGTACCCACTCACCAAAATCTAAAGCCATTTTAATAGAATTCATTTTATTATATATCTTTTGATTAGTTCTTACTCCTTTCTTACATACTTATTATTCAAGGAAATGATTTTCTTGTTACTTCATCGAATGAACTCTTCAATAGACAATGATATTATAGTATATTTTATCGAAATACGACAAAAGTACGTTGTTCCGGAAATATATTATGCGTGGTATACGAATAGATGAAATCGGTAAATAATATTATTTTAAGTCTTCTAGAAGGTTTCACAAATATATATTAAATGTTTAATTATATTTATATTCAATGTCATGCCTTTTTTGAATATTTCCCTATAAGTACAAACTATTATACTTTTAAATTGGTTTTCAAATTTTTCATTTGTAAAACTTAACTCATTGATTTGTAAAATTTCTCAAAAAAAAATAAAAATATTAATGACAGACTAAAAGAGTTCAACACATATAGTATGACGTATATCTATAATAGAAAAATCAATGGAAGTTGCCGAAGACTGTGTCTATATTATTATAACTTAAGAGGACACCACACGGGCATTTGTTGTGTCCGTTTAACAAACGTACAACATGACATATTGTACATTCACAATAATACATGTTACTATATAATTTTTAAAATAAAAGTTAATTTACCTCTTAAAAAATTTAAAGGGAAGAATATTATCTAAGGCATCTCGGAGTATTTCATTTATGTTATTATTTTTAAGCAAGTTATGATCGTTTTAAAATGTGCAAAAACCTAACCGTTTAAAAAATAGTCATACCGTAATTAAAAATAATAACAGCAATCAAATCCTCCGAGGTACCCTACATAATATTCTTGTCTATAAATCTTATAAGAAATAAATTCACTCTAATTTTAAAAGTTACACAGTAAAACGTATTATTATGAACGTAAAATTGTCCAAGTTGTACGTTTGTAATACGGATAAGTAAACAAATTCCCATGTGGCGTCCTCTTAAATAAAATCGCTTTTGATTATATAATAATATTATTATTGCTTATTCAAAATTGTATGAATGAATACCCAATTTGTAGAGCAGCTTGCAAGGGTAAGTTTTTTCGTGTAAAATATAGGTAGCTAATATAACCATATACGTGGTATTATCCTTTAAACGATGATGATGGTCGAGAACATTTGAATAAACGATTACCATGTTTATGTTATATAGGTAAGTAGCTATATGGTATAAAACATGTATTTTAATGAGTACTTGCATGTATTCAGACAACCGTGTTATTATGTCCAGCGTAGGTACCTACGATATAATAATACAAAGGAATGACGATTAGTCGAATCGATTGGATATTTGTTTCACGGTGACAATTTCATACTTTTACTACATGTATATCGTATATAGGTTGTCCTGCAGAATGAGCCGGAAGTATCGTTTTTCGTAGTATTTTGTTATTGTTGTTGAATTACACGTGCTTGTTTCAGTGGCCCACCTGTGTTGACCGTTCACATGACGTCCGATAACGATGACGATTCCGTGGCGGTGTCATCGGACTGCAGTGGTTGCCCAAGTCCTGTGCCCGCCGCTAAAAATGGTCGTGTGCCCACCAGTGCCACCAGTACCTCCACCACCGCCAAGGGAATACTGGTGCATAACAACAAGAAATCGGCCAACACGAATCGTGTGAGCTTCGTTACGAATTCGTCGAAGACAGTGTCCTCGTCGTCTCTGTCTCCGTCACCTTTGCCGTCGATCGACCGATCCAAGAAAAAACGTAACCAGCCACGACGATCGGACGACAAGGACGACGACGTCCGGTTGCCTTACCACGATCAGACTGACAGACGACTGACGGGTTTCGGCATAAAGAGTTACTTGCATGAGTTCTATGATGATCCCGATGACCGCCAATTGTTTCAGGTTTGTATATAGTACTGCACGTATACTTATGTTTCGTTATGATGAAATATTTCGATTCTTAAAAACAAATAAATGTATGAGATATTTTTAAATTTTTTACCTATATTATAAATTGTTTATTAATTAAACGTAAAACTTAATATAAGTTGCCTAGACCATAATATAGTTTCTTATAATTTTAGCAAAAAGCTGGGTCAAATAATAATATGATATAAGCCCTCTTGTTTTTCTGATTTATTTAAAAATTTACTTAAGTTATCAACGTGATATATATACGGAATCCCCAAAAAAATATTAGATATAGCAACCTAATATAGATTTATCAAAAAATTAATTATTTTATAATTTACAGAGTTGTTGTTATCTATATGTATACATTTATTATTTTAAATTAATACTCATTCAATTGATTTCAAACTATATTTTACAATAGTCGCCTATGTACTTCTTATAAATCAATTATCATTACGACCATACCATATGGACTTATGTGCGAATAATTATTCTTTGATAACAAATATACAACTACTTCAGCAGAGTCGTGCCAAGGGTGTGGCAAATAGGACATTTTAAAAAACGGAAAATGATTAAATTATATGTATGCTAATTATATTGGTGCCAAATATCATTGCTTTGTGGGTGCCAATGAAAGTTAGTAATGCACTGACTACTTGTGTACCTATAATATATTATCAATAAACGTTGTGATTATTTTTGAATTGCTATTAATTTTCTAAGACATTTTTTTCAAGGCAACAATTATTGTAGATTCGAAAAAATATTATTATTATTATATAAGTGATAGCAATAATAACATAGATTTGTCTTTACCTAGACAGTTATAATTTGTGATACAATTTTTTATGATAGTAATCAGTAATCACACGATTAATGAGTTTTTAACGTTTTCTTGGCATTTACATTTTATTTTTCATAGGATATATTTTATAATATCCTAAGATAATGTTTTTTTTTTTTTTTTGAACTAAACTCAAAATAAAGATTAACTAGTAAGAAAACAGCAATTTAAATAAGTTGAGGAAAAAAATTATTAGTTTAAAATATGTTTGGAGTATAAAAAATATTCACCTTAAAATAGTATGTTTATAAAAGCTCATTTTCGATTTAATACTTCTATATACAAGTTAAATAATTAAATAATTTTAAATAGAACTTCTCAAAAACTGACTACTGTGATCATCTTTTTTATTTTTGTTTTTATAGTTTTACTAATAATTCTTATAAATTTCTAAAGGCATTATAGGTATAAAATTTTGAAACTTTGACTTATGTTATGTAGATGTTGTGCAAAATAATTATGATTTCAAAGTGCACATACAATAAGATAGACATGCATTTTAATTAGTCAATCAATATTTTTTTTATTTTTTTTTGGAATAAATATTATTTTCTATTCTTATATGTAATAGATTAGATAATATATTTGATATGTCAGTTAAAATTATAAATTAATGGTAATTAAGAATTGAAACTATTATAGTTATTTATTTAATATAGCTTAAATAGGTCGTTTAAAATGTTATTTATAACACTATCGTCTATTAACTATGGCACTGAAGTTCTACAAAAATTATCCATTTCTAAATGACTGTTAACGTATTATAAAAAATATATTTATTTGATTTTTGATAAAATTCATTAGGTTAAACAATGACCACGGTAAATTTACATTAAAAATGATTGCCCCAACTAATGTTCCACAGGTGTATATTAAATGAGATACTTAGATAAAATAAAAAAATAAAATTCTGGTTAATAGTCATACTATTCAGTACAAATGTAATTTCGACCACTTACGAGTACATCAGAAAGTGTTTAAATTATATGTGTACCTATACTTCCCATTTATTTTGGTTTATGCATATTGTGTGTATTAATAGGATTTCGCAGCTTAATATACCCAATAAGTAATAATTATTGATTATGTATATTATACATTTTTCAGTAATAATAGAATGGTATTTGATTAAATCTAAGTATATCGTTAAAAAAGATTTCTAAAAATGTTATGATTACACAGGTGTTATTTTATAAACCATTAAAAAGAAATCCAGTAACAATAATGTAACCATAAAATAATTTGCACATTTTTCGAAAAATTTACCTAATATTTTGTGGTTATTTTAATTTGATTAAAATATAATACCTATACGTTTCTATAGTTATTAATTGGTGTTATAATAAGAATTTTGATTCTATTGCATTCAGATCATATTATAAATAATTTTCACTGGGATGGCACTTCGGTATTATGTTCTACTAGAGGAACATAGGTTAACATACTAGGAGAAACCAACCTTCAGTCCCAACGCTTTTTTCCCGCTGGGGGGCACTAGTGCTACGTACTTTGTATGGTGATCTGATTGCTTTTTTAATATTATTGATTACTATAGAGTTCATATTAAAATGATTCCAATTATGAAATGTTAGATTGTATACTTGAAAAGTTTTAGATTGTAATTTTCGTTAATATTAGCGTTTAAACTTAAATGTATTTTACGTGTTTCAAAATTATAGTTAAACAAGGAAAGTTACGTTAAAAAAAATGTCTTCATCCGGTTGGAACCATTTTTATGGTATAGCATAATATTATAATAAATCATTTATATAATAATATTTTATGTAATGTAGCCAATATAGGTGCAATATATATGCAAACGTCCATTAAATAAATAAATATAAATAATATACATTCTAATGTTGTAGGTTCTAGCCTTTCTAGGTATATATTATTACTGTTTTAACACTACAGGAGAAAGTCAGGACTCAGATAAACGTATTAATTATTTATAAAAAAGTATAGCTTATCCTTTGTGTGTTGTTTTAAGCGAGACTTGCTAAGATTTTGACGGGCTCACCCACTCTATTTAGTATTTTCGTTACAACCGTAAGTCCGTATAAGATAAACTCTAGTACAATTAAAATGTATACGCCAAGATGTAAAAGTGTAGATAATATGACAAAAGCGTGAAAGTAAATTATATTTTCGTTGTTCATACTAAGATCCTTAACCGTTTTAGTTTAAACAACAGCACATTCGTGATATATATACCCGTTATACCTAGAACACATCAAATGTGTTTTATCCGTGATAATCKGACAGTCGTGATCAATGGGCTGCAATGGTGTCGATTTTCACGTCTCTTGGTTTTCAGTGTTTATTGCGTGCATTTTTTTCCTAGCTTCACGTGTACGTGATATATAGTACCTATACAAGTATAGAATCGGTATTTCGTGTTATTTTTTTCTGATAAAAGAACGTACCACATATAATTTTAAAATGTAGGTAGGTATTAAAAAGTATAACCATTTAACGGTTTCAAAGCAAAAATGGAATAGAGTAATTTTTTATCCAAGTATATTATTCAAACTAAATATGCATGATTTTTTTTCAAAAGTAAAAAGATTAATTTTTTTTTGTAGGTATAGGTATTTTAAATATAAACAGAAAATTAGGTTTTCGAATATTTTCAATATTTTATTTTAATAATTAGTTTAACTCATTCATCAATTTAAGAATTTTCTTTAAAGCAATACATTGTATTACAGATAAATAATAACCCACTTGGGAAGCATATCTTAAATACATATATATATATACGTATAATTATATTATGAGTCATAACTTATGACTAATATTATTTCAAAATTCGGCGTATTAATTGAAGCTGAACAAAAATTTATTGTCATTTACCCGTAAAGTATTATTTATAAACGAATAATACGATGTTGAAAATACATTATTTCCTTAGATACAATAAACATTTTAAAATATAATCACGATTGGATTTTATCTCATAATTTTGTTTGTGCATAGAGGTTTTCTATAAAAAAAACCACCATCCAATAGCCGCCAAGTAAAGAGGGAATTTATTTAGACTGCTGAAGCGTTGTAAGTACATAAGAACCAAGCAACAATAAAAGGATTAGGTACCCATTTACGCGTTACAAAAATAATATAATTTTTCCAACATGCGTAAATGTGCGTATTTATGTCAGTATGAAATAATAGTAGGTAGGTATAAGAAAAGCAATTTTAAAACTGTCACTTTTGGTAACACTATACACTTTTAAAATAGTTTGATAAATTGTTATATAAAATACCCACTTTAAAGGTTTTTCAAACTATTTGAAAAGTATATGTATTGTTTAACAATGGAAAGAACTTGACTGGAGGACTTTATTGGGTACACGCAGTAACAATAAGATGAACTAATATATATCGCACTATAATGGTATAGGATGGACACTGGACAGGTCATACTAACTGCAGTGTCCATACGATTTATGATAAAAATAAATACATTTAGATTAATATTTGATTTTAAATGACATTGTATTTATTGTACCTATAAAAAAATAATTAATGTACAGTTTATGAGCCAGACAGTACTGACGACATTTTTATTCACATATTTATGCACAAATACTAGCTAATCGCATTAAGGATGAGACGGTTGTACAAAAAAATTTAACAATTATTATCATTTTCTTAAATGTAGACGTTTCGTTACACCATAAATGAGAGTTTGGAAAATTAAGTATTTCAATTTCTCATTACTCAATATTATTTTTACAAGAGAATTTTTGTCTATTGATATAATTTATAAATGCATTTTACACATGTCTACGTTCTTGTTGACGAATTCGTTAGTCAGAATTATGAACCTCCTTATTGGCACTCATTTAATTTTCAATATGACAACGAAATCTCTTTTCCCCTCATCTAAATTGGCCGATATCAGATCTTATTTTCGATATTTTATAACATTTAAATTATAATATACATGATAATACTGTAGTAGAAATATAAAATTGGAACGAAATGTATGTAAAACGGTGAAAGTATAGAAAATGACATGTGTTTTTGATACCGCATGAGATTATATTATGTTACTTTAACGTAATCACTTTTTGACTTCGAGCCTAAAGAATTGGCATGTAATGAATTTGAATCAAATAAAAACAAAATGCAAATATAAAACACGAAGAAAATATAATAATAATCAATTATTTTTTCTGTATAACAACGTATTACAGAAAATACTTAATAAATGCCATATTTATACTACAGGTAACTATTATAGTAATATAATTTGTAACCGGCGACGACCAATGTAGTCGGTAAAAAGCGACACTGAAATAAACGCATGTTAAAAACTGACACAAATAAAAAACGACCCAGAAAAAGTTATAAGTAATAATATAGTATACAAGATATAACAGATAGTACTAACTATTGGAATAATTTTTGTTTAAATTAATATTTTTTATTTTATTTTTTTTGTTCATTGAGTGCCCCTAGCGCTACATGCGTAATACATTTTTTTTATGTTTTTTTTTAGTACTGAAAATAAAAAAAATTAACTTAATGAAAAAAATATTGGATAAATTCAAAATAACCTGTTTGTGAATCTGATTATAAGAATAATTTTGATGGTAAAAAGATTTATCTAAGTCAAGTAGTTTATTTTTAAGATTTTTTTTTAAATTCAATGTTTTTTTTTGGTTAAATTAATTTRGAACGTGATAACTTTTTAAAAATATGACTGAAAATTTTCTGACATGACTATATTTCTTAAATTATTTATTTAGGTATTATATAATATTAAAAAATTTTGTCAAACGTTGAATTAGCATAATTTTTTTTTCTTTTGGTCAGGTCTATCTGTTACACTCTGTATAGTATTATTATTATTATAAGTATATAGCTACTATAGGTAACAGCAAATTGCAGGTCGAGCACCTTATCAAACCAATGCCAAATAATTATTGTAGATAGAATATATTATATAAACAAAAGTATACGTAAAATCCTATAAAATATTGAGTATTGGGTATAATGATGATTTAAAATTTATGACTTTTGATAACAATGTTAAGATTATGAATATAAACTGCAACTTTCATACATTTTCAATCCTAATCGTCAGTTACATATAAATCTTGATTTCGTAGTGAATACACGATACATTATACATAATTATACATACCTACCATATAGTTTTTTGAATGTGCATAATACGAGTATACATTTAACGATGGCAATTGGAATAATAATCAAACTGAAGGGTGGAAATGTGGAATCATAGATTTTCAAAATCAATAGGACATTGCCATCCCTCTATTATATATATATGTGTGTGTATTAATAACGAAATTTATAGATTAGAGGTAGCGAATGACGAATCAAAATAAGCTCAAAATGAATTAGGTACATTACTACCAAATAAAAAAAAAGAAAGATTTATGCATAGTATAACAAAATAAATTAAAAAATATATACGTAAACAATATTCAAGTGAAGAAAGAGATATCTCAAATTGTTTAATGGCTACCTATACCATAGTCCATAATTATACAATTCGATCTTTGATATTTTATTAAATAATTAAACTTAATAATTGATAACAGTGATTTTTGATTTTTAGATCAAAATAAATTTTTGACATTTTTTACCATATCGTTTYTTACTATTGTTGTATTTAACTTATTTAACTGTGTAATTTTTGTCTTGGGGCTTTTTTCCGTGTTGATTTTTCCCTAGATTCAATGGTCATTGATTATCCATGAAAAAAAATTTAAAAAAATTTAATTTGCATAAGCCAAAATGAAATTTGTGTTCTAATTTATCTTAGAGTAACCTAGATATTTTTTATTGGATAAAAAAAATAAGCTAGGAACAATCTCAGGGATTCGAGCAGTCTATTGATCTTATTTTGATTGAAATCAGTCCAGTAGTTTATGATATTAGCCGTTAGCAACAAAATGGTAAAGCGTTTTCATTCGTTGTGCGAAATTAATGCATCAAGTCATACATTTTCTGCAAAAGGGAGTTTAATGGCTAATCCTTATAGATGTAAAAGCATAAAAAAAAATGTTACAATATTTTAATAACGATACTAAATTTTCAATACATATACATATGATTGGTAACTATACACAATATAAATTAATATTTATTAATGCCATTGCCATTTCTAAATAGGTACAGATTCAAGTTTGGGTCAACGAACAGAATTTCTTGTTAATATTATACTTTTATAAGACAGATGTGGAAAATATTTCTCAAAATGTAATGGTATAGCAATGTTATTACAAACACAGTTTGAAATGTTCTGTTCAATTTACATGTATCATTGAACATCAAACTTTTTGTATAACCCTTATTATTCTCTATATAATGTTATGTTTGTGTATAGTGTATACTGTATAGAACTATACACAGTATAATACACGTCCTCTCTATAGAAATGAGATTTGTGTTTTTCATATAATAGTTATATACTCTTTATTTTCGCAAATGTAAGTTTCTTTTATAGTTACTTTTTGAGCATAAACTACGACGAGAACTTCTTGATAATAGCTATTATGGTTGGTCATTACTACTGCTTGATCGAATCGCTATATTAATCACTGTTCGTCAATAATTAGAACATAAAAAAAGTTTTTGAACTGCATTAACGATAGTTTTTGAGAATTTTCGCTATAGAATTGGTGGGTTTTCCGTGCCTTATCATCAGGTCATATATATATATATATATTATATAACGCGTTCTCGAGATATAGACATGAGTGTGAAAGGCTGTCAAAGTCAAAGATCAGCGTGGGATCATTAAATGGGAATAAAGTCCAAAGTAATTGTGAGTCTCGATCCCATGGTCCGGTGGAAATAAAGTTTGATATGCACAGTACTGTTAACAACCAATTAAATTTCCAACAAAAATATAAGACTGCAGAAGCTTAACATAAAAGTAAACCGTTGCGATCAAAATATGTCATGCGATGCAATTTTTAACGGTATAGTAGAAAAATAAAACGTCTACTATAGTATAAATATACTTATCAACTGTACTATTATATCAAAGCTTTTGACCATTAAAATGTCATTATCGATTTTGAATGTTGATATCGTTGTAGCCTTGTAAAAGTGTTATCCAGTAAAATACATTTAAAAATAACTATGAAGTTTCTTTTATAATTTAAATTTTAAATTTAGAGCAAAGCAATGGATGTATTGATTTTACAATAGTTTCATACTTAATGTACGAGTTTTTTTTATACCTATTATTTTTAAGATCTAAAATAGACGAACTTAAATATTTTAACGAATAATAATAATTTTAGTTATTTTTCTGTAATATTTTTGGTGGGGATTTCAAGCTTTTACATATATTATTATATTATATATACATAATGACATTTTCGAAACATTTAGATAAATTTTATGCTTTGTATAAATTTCCTATATTGTATGCCACGAATTTATTCACACTGTTTTGCTACAAGTCGGTATTGACTTAAAAGTTAATAACTATAATATATTATATAAAAATTATAAACTTTTATAATAGATAATTAAAAATTAATAATATAATAAATGCAATATTTCCTGCAAAAATTAATTCAATCTACCTTATTACTAAAATCAAAATAAGTTTCAATAGTAACTACCTATACATAAATACATATATCTGTATCACTTTGTATCATTTTTCGTATGTAATGATGTATCATCGAATTTAAATTTATCACTAACAGACGAAGCTGTTACTTAATCAAAATGATATTGTTTTTGATGTGAGTTATTTTATAAATTTTTGGTAAAATTAACATATTTTGATAGGTAGGTATTTAAAATTATTAAACCAGCTCATAATATAATGATAATATATTATAATATCTACGTCAAAATGTCATTATATCATATAACTATATAATATAATTACTTTAAAATTTCAATATTTCCAAACACTTGGTTTCTACTTGGTTTTTAATTTGAAAACATAATATGTATTACTTATTTTACGGAATCAAACTTTCAAAACGTCAGAGAACGCCCTGCCGCCGTATATATACGAAATTACAAACCGTTAAAAATATTATTTTTTCACGAACTTGGAATAAACTGCTGTGCACATAAAACGTTATGACCTGAATATAGTTTAATATTTACCTATATAGTAATATTTGATTTAGGTATTATAAATCCCTCGGCTATAGGAGATATGTCGATTATACTATTGATCGATGGTAATTGATAGTTCGACGTCCATAGGGATTATAATATATAATATATAATAATTATTACTATTATTATGTGGAGGGCAATTCTAAAAAGTCTTGAATAAATAATAATAGGATATAATCATAAATCATATACATGTATAACCTAACTATAGATAATCTTCTCCTTCTTATCAATCAAGTGAGCCACTATTTACAAAGTGCAGGTAATGTTTACAAAACAATGTTATCACAATATGATTAATATAAAATAAACATTTCCTGCTTTACAAATAGCAACCAACTTCAACATCGGTCACAACTACGGTAGTATATAATGAGAACTATCTAGTCGTATGTCCGTGGATATAATCTATAATGTTTCATCGAAGCTTTATGTATAATGTGTTCTATTCAACGCTAACTTTTTTAAAAATCATTTCCTGTCTCAAAATGAGACAAGTTTTATCGTATATACTACGTGTAACTTTAATTGGATGAGTTTTAAGATTAACCATATCTTTTTATGTAGCTAAACTTTGATAGTCTTTATGAAAAAATATACGCTTTTTGCATTTTAATCAAATATGTCGATCATCCATTCTTTTGTTATTTACTTAGATGTTCGTATTTTACCGCTTAATATTTGACTTCAAAAGTACTTTTAAGATTTTCTCTGGAGGAACATACACATGAATATAAAACCATTAAAAAAGTGATATATTTTTTAACCTTAGAAGATTGTCCAGTTCTGGTACGTTATGTTATATGTTTACAAGTATATATTTGCTGTGCAGGAAGGCGTTGGCGGTGGCGGCGGAAACGACGTCGACGACTTCAAATACTTTGTGGAACCTGAAATCCGCTGGTATCGCCACTGCAGTGGCGTGTACGCGGTACTCGGACTGGCCGTGATGGCCGTGGGGGCGGCAGCGATGGCCGCCGGTCATCTTATACCGACCAAGGACCCCGTGGTCGGCCGGTCCGTCCACATGGAGGTGATCGACCGGAGGGCCGTTTCGTTCAACGATCACTTGGCCTCGTGCCGTTACATCGGTTCGATGGTGTTCGCCGTCGGTCTCGTGTTCACCGTCATCCGGTTTTGGGCGTCCGTGATAAGGGGCGGCGGTGGCGGTGCTATCAGTGGCAGTGACGAAGAACGGGCGACCAAGAAACTGCRGGTTGGCAAAGAGCGGCCGTCGCCGACCAAAGTGCAAACCGTCCGAATACCCATCACGGGCACGCTGGAGAACGTACAGCCCGACCCGACGGCTATAAAACTGCAGTTCGCCGACAACAGTTGAAATACTATAACAATAATAATATGCAATTATCAAACGCAATATTGTCAAATATATATATAATCATTGATATTATGCTATATTATATACCTACGCTGTAATCTGGCTAGAACTTAATTTTCATAAGTGCCAGTCAGTGTTTTTCCACCCAACAGTGACTTATAATTTACTATTCCGTTAATGGTATTAAGAGGACGGTACACGGACATTAATAATTATTTGTTGACTACGTCTCACGAGTGCGTAACGTAGCAAATTTATGCTCAGCGAATCACCGTTATAGCTCTGTTACTTTAAAAATTAGAGTGAATCGACCTGATATTATGGAGCTTGGTGGTAAGAGTATTATCCGTGTTTTTTTATGATTGTTCAAATTTTAAAGCGAGTTATGTGCATTCTTAATTTATAATATACTATACGAGCAAAACTTGATAAAAAATTTGACTATCGTAAGAAACCCACTTTCGTACACAGAAAATGTTTTTTCCATCAAGTTTCATAATTAGTCAATTCACTCTAAATTTTTAAACTAACGAAGTAAACGTGATCTGCTGGGAATAAATTTAGTAAGTCACCCACTTGTAAGACGGAGACAAGAATAGTAAAAATATTGTTGTTTTTGTTATTATTATTATTATTATTATTACTTTGATGATAATGACTTAAATAAAATATAATATTCTATGTACTTCAAAAGCTTAAACTATGATGTGATTATAAACCAGAAACTCTTGTAACATTCAACCTGATATGCTCTTAAAAATCTTAAGATTTGGAAAAAAAGATAGCTAAGTATGCTTTGCATAAATAATAATTGAGATAGAAGGTTAATTGTAGTTTCAATCCATAATTATCACATTTCATCTCCTCTCGCAAAATAGGTGCTGTTTTAATAATTAGTCATAGGTGCAAATTCAGTTTTAAATTTGATAGGCTACAAACATTTTTTAAGCGAACTCTAAGGGACTATTCCTTTCAACCCTTCGTTTAAATTTCGTTAAAAAACCTAACATATTTTCAACATATAATTTACTAAACGACAATACAAATTAGTCAACTAATGACAACACTTTACTTGAAGATTTAATTAGTTTTTACTATGAATTATGTGAATTTTATACTAGAAACCCCTATGCACTATAAAACCTGAAAAATTCTTTATAAAAATGTGTACTGTATGTATAATTAAGAATTATAATTTAAAAGCTTAAAATCTATAAAATACAAGATATTTTGAATTAGAGACTTCGTGCTTATTCATAACATTTAATACTAAACAAAAAATTCATAAAACATATGAAAGTTGTAATATTGACTGAATCAAAAAAAGTAATATTAAGTATCTAATAAAATGATCAAAAAATAAGGTATAATAAAATCTAAAAAAAAAATTGTGTATACTAAGTGTGACTTAGTTAGTCTTATAGCTGCAGCTGATGTCAAATATGTTCAATAACAAAAAAAAAGACAATATAAATCAAAATTGGAAAGGATCAAAAATAAAAGTTTCAATATTTAATTGATTAGTAGTTGTTTATTAATTTTAATCTATTGAATCTAATTCATAATTAATGTTAATAAAGTATGTTTTACAGTAAACTTAAAATAATACAATTTTCTACAAATCTTCAGCTCTAGTAATAATAATATACCTATTATTATGTTAATGTCTTAGAAAAAAATTATTATTATTATTTCATCAACAAATTAAACATATCCCTAAAGATACATTTTTTTTTAAATGTATGCCTAGCATTAAGATGGGCTATAGGTGATTTAGGAGTGGCTAACACGGTATATTCCATAGCACTCCCCATCCCAGTTTGCGCCTATGTGTCGTCCACTAGGTAARCAGGATGGGACAGCGTCCGATTCTATGGATTTAGAAGAAACATTTTATTTTTTGTTAAACCACACAGAGTTTAATGCTACTTTTAAGCAATATTTTGCATTTTAATAATTCCAATAAGTTATATTTATGTGCCGTATAATATTGTATAAAGCTATCGAATTATCGGACACAGTTCTTTAACCAAAAATAATATCCTTTTTCTGATATGCATCAGCATTCAGCAGAATTTATTTTTAGTTTACTATTGTCGTTATAATAATAATAATAAACAGATGACATATGTCTTCTCCATATGAATTTGCGATAAAAGCATTGTAATTGAAGAATCAACGTTTGTCCTGGATATCGATTATTTTTATTTTTTCATCATTAGCATACGAAATTTTAAAGAAAACTAATATTTATTTATTAAGCATGCAATGTATGACACAAATACACTTTATATAACCGCTTTTTAACTATAAGAATAACCATTATTATATACTATATAGTCCAATTACACATGATAATATAATATATTATACAAATCTAAATAACCATAAATTTAATAATAACATGTTATTGTATTATAATAGAAAATTATAATTTATTAAGTTTATTTTAATAATTAATATCAATGTTGATTTAAATAAATCTTAATATTTTTTGTGATGTGGTATGAATATTTTATGTGATTTAATTAAAGGCTGTGGTTTGTTATTTGCAGAAAATTGGATATTGGTTTATATTTTATCACAGATTTGTACACGATATGTCAACGCTATGTTTATATATATTTTTTGGTAAGCAATGTAATCTAAGAAGATGACAAAAAAGTCTTATAATTCATATAGTAATATTTCTAAAATATACAAATATATACTGGTATTGTGTTGTAACAAAAATTTATTATAATATAAATTAAACAGTACAGGTTTAAAAAAAAAAATATTTTAAATCAAAAATTAATTACTGGATAAGGTTATTTTTTATAAGCATAAAATCATAATGTACCTATGTATTCATCGTGGTTTCTATGCCAGGATGTTTACTGTTTTTTGTATATTTTATTTTTGTAACACACGTGATGATTGTTTGTAATTTGTGATGGTGCGCCGTGTTCATTTTGTAGAGTAAAAGTTCCTTCCCAAATATTTTTTGTTACATTCACATAAATTAAAAATGAATTTATTCAATATATTTATCTACACAATGTCTACATAATACACATATTAATATAAGTTTATTCACATTTATAATRTTCATGGTTCAATGGTTGTAAAAAATAAAAATTAGTTAAAATAATAAACTACCTATTCCAAATGTATTTAAAAAGTTTTAYTTTTTAATTTTATTAGATATGTGTTTACTATACAGCGTTTAAATTTATTTAATTTAAAATTTTGATGGTCAATAATTACAAATAATAAAAAAATATATATTTATAAAATACAGTTAACAGCAAATTATTTTTCAAATTTAATCTTTAAGTCGAAAAGTTTTACTATAGATAMCTATTTTTTTTTAAATATATCTTTTATTAGAAATATAATTCTATAATAATGATTACAATAAGTATATTTGAAGAAAGAGGAGAAAAAAATAGATACCTACATACTTAAATAATATTTTTATTTATTTATTTAAATATATATTTACGATTATATCATTTAAAAAAATAAATTTTATTTATTACAAAAAATACATATATTTAAAAATAACTTATTTTTTGGATATATTAAAGTACTAAAACTAATTATAAGACTTACTTAAACATGAATTATTATATTTTACTTAGTATTATACATTTTATTCGCCATTTATTAATATCTTTCATCAACTTAAAAAAGATGTATTGTTGTTTATGTAAACTGTAAAGTTGATAATTTGACGCATTGTATTAATTTACAACTAAATAGGTTCTATATCTTCCTTGTCTCAGAAAGTAACAACATTTAATAATACATTTATAAAAAAAGTCATTATATTATAATATTTAACTTTTGTAATTTCTATAACACAATTACTGTGGAATTTTAAGCTTTGTAAAAATATCTAAAAGCTTAAAATAATAACAATTATGATTAACACTCTGTTTGTATTAATATAAATTATTAATTATATGTATACTGAACTAATTAAGTTTTAACCTCCATAATATAGGTATTATATTATTACACACCCTATCTATGAATTCTCAATTATTAGTCAAAAATGGTTTTCTTTTTTTATTTCAGGCTAATTTAATACAGAAAATATTATGCTTACAGATCGTAATTATGAAGAAAACGTATAAATAGAAACCAAAAGTCCAAAAATGTTTTTTCTCTTCTAGAACATAATCTGGCTTAAATATATAATTATAGTATTAGTCCATCCCAWACATTATTATTAATTCATATATGTCACAAATACTAAAAGTTATAATTTAACCAAATCTGATATATTATTTAGTTTTCGGATGGGTATAAATAAACTATAATGTTTAAGCATTATCATTCATCACATATTAACATGACATTTAAATATATCCTGAAAATAATATAATTTAATCAAAAATCATGTTTTAGTTTTTAATTTTAATAAGTAGGTACTAGGTAATAACTATAAAGTGTACTATACATGTCTATATACTGTATATTATATAGAGTACTGAGTATGTAGCCCGGGAAGTACTTTATTTTGACGAAAAATTGATTAAATAAGTGATTGGATAATGTAATATTACGATAACCAAATACARCTGAGYAAACAATACACAGCTGATAATAAGTATATGTATAGTATAGGTACTGTATTACATAATATTAGTCTAYATAAAAAACCTAACCATGTAGTAATATAAGTAATCTAGTTTAAAAAAACATTATTAATTTATTGTAGTACAAYAATTAAACTAATATTCATTTGAATAATGTAGTTCCTAATTAATAATTATACCAGATTTTAAGTATTTTATAGGTACATTTTAAAATAAGTTTAATTATTAAAAAACTGTAAGCTTATTGATCAACCGTATAAATACACCATACATTTATGTAACATCTTTGTTTTAAAACAATWAATACATAATTAGATATTAWAACTATTACATACTATGTAACTTTTGTATCATTTTGGATACATCAAATTTCAATCATAAAAAAATAAGTCAATTTAAACATTATAAAATAACATTTGTATAATTATTTATTAAAATGAAATGTACTAC